CAAAGATGCTGTTTCCTGGCCTTTCCACTCCGCTCCACTTTTTTACCAGGGCTTTTTAAAGCAGAAAAACTTGGTTAAAGTTCAAGACAAGGGACAAGGGTGTGTGCGATGTAAACATTATGGCTTTGTTTCCATCCGTTTGGGGTTTATAATTTGTTATAATATTATTCTTTCTTCAAGACACTAACAAATATCTCAACTCGCAGAATGAAATAAAGGAGGGGGGGGGGGGGGGGGGTAGGAGTGATGGTATCAAAAGTATTTTCCCCACTGGTCTGACCAGAACTATTGTGTCGCTTCTGCCCATGAAAGCATTGCCCTACCTATATCAATGCTTCTCTCTTTATACCAACTAAGTATAACCAAGGTATGAAAAATGGATCTCCCAATATTGATAGGAAGCAAATGGCACCGTATAGTTCGGATCTCATATAATACTGGTTGGAATGAGCAAAAGATAGCAGAGTGTGTGCAAACAGAATAATATGAAATTAATGAAAAGACCTGTATATATAGGATTTCCCGGCCAAATTCGCGTGTTTGTCATTCGAATTCATTTACTTTGCATTTAAGTTAGCGCAGATCGGCTTTGCCATGCCAATTATCATTCAATTTTCCAGTTTTTGTGTTTAATTTAGGACTGTGGTCAAAGGGTTTCATAGATCTGTCATTCAATTTAGAAACGGCTCAACTAGCATTCAAATTAATATTCACATATTGAAGCGTAATTTTTATCATTCAAATTAACACCTGTCATTCGTATTCGTAATATTTTTATTCAAGTTAGGAATGTTAGGGGGAAGAATTGCAACAAACTTTTACAGTTTTTAAATAATGCAGTTAAAATGCATGATTTGCCATTGGGGTCTAAGCTGTTATTATATTGATGAGCTATAACAAGTGTGTAATAAACGAGAAATGTAACCATAAGTAAGTGTACAAAGTGCTAATTTGAATGCTACAAATGAATTAGAATGCTAAAAGTACGTACACCGTCTCGTTGTCAGAAAATCGTGTTGCGCCAAATCGAATGACCAAATAGTGAAAGAAGCACATTGTTCATTAATTTGAATGAAACATAGGTAGATTCTAACGAAAATTCCATAGATTTGAAAATTAGAAAAGGGAATATAAACCCAAGATATACCTGACTGAACTAAAACCGTCGAAATTTGAACGCAAGACAAATTAATTTGAATGACAAACTCGCGAATTTGGCCGGGAAATCCTATATTAACATATGATCCCCTTCCTTTATCATGTTTTGCTCTCATTTGCCTAATTTCACTGATCCATTCTTTGATCTATGGTAGATTCCTTTTCTTCATCTATTATCTCAACCATCTCTCTCTCTCTCTCCTTCTTTGGGCTAGTTCAGGGTATAGTATTATGTAAAAAGAGTATGATAGAATAAACTGTATTGGACAATAACAATTATATTGAAATTGAAATCAGTTTGGAATATTGGAACAATCTTCATACTCTAATGGGTCACCCAACTTCATACAATCAACGATAATCCTCTGTATAATTCCTTGATTTGACTTGTTACATCATGGGACAGATTTTGCTCTCATTTGCCTGAATCCATCCATTTATTTGATCATTATATTCCTTTACTTTTATTTCTTCTTCTCTCTTTTACTATCAACCATTCCTCCCTCCCTCCCTCCCCCTTTCTCTCTCTCTCTCTCTCTCTCTCTCTCTCTCTCTCTCAGGAATTCTCCCAAAATAGACATAAAAAAAAACTTTCAAAGAACAAAAGTGTTTCTCTTCTTATAAGTCCAACATGAAATATGGACTTGGTATATATTTTTCATAGATCAATTCAGTAGTAGTAGTATTAGTACAGATGAGATATTTACAAGGTCACTGTGAAGGTCACCAAAAAGCAATCCCTGTAAAAGTGACACAATACTACAGAAAGGCACAGAAAATGAGTTTAACATCATACTCTCATAATTATTTGTACGTAGTATCAGTTTACAATTTATGAACAAGAAGCTACAAGCTGTACTAAATGAACATGATGACAGGTTTTCTCATCAAATACGCTTTAAAAAAAATATTGTTTACCAGCTTCCTAATCCATATTGGATGTTAAGGCCTAGTACCCTAGAAATAGTTAATTCTGCATAAATTGAAATCAAATCAATTGTTTGGACAAAACTATGCAAAATATGTGTTCTTTACACTTCCTACATCAAATTTTCTGTAAGTCAAACTGTTTTTCTGTTCTGGTCCCAACTGATATGACTTATTCAGAGTTAACTATATTCATATAAAACTAAATCGCATAGACTCTCAAAAAATCAACCTAACCCAAGGCAGTTTCAATGACCTTGTTAGTCATCCATTGAAGACGTGTACGAACCTGACAATGCTATATTATTACCCATTTCTAAAGGCAATGCTATACAGTCTTGAAATTGACATGAAGTTGATTTGTTGAAAGTACTTGTGATCATGTTGTAACTAACTTTAAAGCATTAAAAGTAAACTTCTTACAGGCTATTCCTGATGATATTGCCTGAAGACTCCTAGCATAGCAGCAACCACTGTAAACAATCAGAATACCATGATCAAAATGTATTAAAAGAGAAGGAATGAAATTCTGATACATGGTAATGGCATAACAAATATAATGAATCCAAATGCACAGGAATTTTAATTTTGATTTTACATTGATACAAATCAAAAGTAGGCCAAGCAGCGATTTAGGTTGCAATTCTTTTTGTTACATAGCACCATCATTCTTCAAAATTAGTCCTATAATATAATATAATTGAAAAGCCATTTCTTACAAATAAACCTGCAGGAATTGATTTTTTTTTCTTCATGGTGATGGTTTCTTAAACCATCTTAACAACGGGAGGCAAGACCCAAGGGTTTATGGTGATCAAATTAGCCATTCCCTGGCACAATCTTACATATAGGTGGCACTGAACCATTCAAAATTACGATCTATTATTTTACAATACCCCCCAAGTACCACAATTGATTCAATATCCTCCTTTCTACAATAGGCAGGTTTCAGAACCATTGACACAACCACTTGTAAGAAGATCTTAAAGACTTTAATAAAATCAACAAAAGGGGAAATCCCTACTGTATTGGCTATAGACATCATGTTTGCTTTATGTGTAACCTGTCATTGTAATGTTCACATACTACAGCAGGTGATGGGCAAAAGCTATAGAAAATGCTTTGGGTTCATCTGTTGAAACTCTTTGTGATCAAGCTCTTTATTCAATCAATCATATCAACATTTCTTGTATCCAGCTCCCCAAATCCCATCCTAATATTATTCCTATGAAGAGAATCAAGTAATCCTTAATTCTTGATCATCATAGAAATATCCACACACTTCCCATACGCAACTGGTGATAACTGATATCTTGCTGAACGCTCATTTTCTACAAATCTAGTCATAAGTTATTACATGATCAAGTATTATATGACAATTAGTAATGTATAAAAAAGTAGATGCACATTATCACAAATATGAATGGAAAAAATACAGAATATGAATCTCTCAAAGTGTACAAAGAAAGTTGTAAGAAAATAAAACCTAAAATGCAAATGATTCATTTAATATTGATCAAAGGTTTCATGGAACCAAATTTAGCCTTCTGTTTTGGTCTTGCGAGTCTTCAGATAATAAAAATGACAACATCCCAAACGGGCCGATATTTATTGATTACCGGCCAATTTAGAGTTGGTCTGGCAGAGTAACTCTAGTTTGAGACTATGGTATTCCTAAAACGAAAATGCAAAATAATGAATTTAAAGAAGTATATTTCAAACAATTTAGAATAAATACATTTCTCACTAACAAATATGCAGAAAATATACATGGACTGCTTTAAAGAACTAAGGAGTCAATCTTTAGTGAAGCCAGTTTTAATTTCAAGGAATTTTAGTTTAAAAAACATATTTTGAACCCTTTGGGGCTCTTTTTTTTTTCTTTTACAGGAAGAGAACCGTACATCTTTTGCACACAAGTTTATACAACAGAACCACATATGAAACTGACAATGTGGCAATGTGGCAATGTGGCAATGTGGCAATTAATGAATTATAAGGCATGATAACTCCTACTACTACTACAAAACAATCTTTTTTAATGTACATGATTATATCGTATACTGGCATGTACATGGTACATGTACTATTCAAAGAAAAACATAAAAGGCAAAGTTACCAACTATGAAATTTCAAATTGACACCATCAGTGCTTTAATTTCACATTCATATTTTCCATAAAAGTTAGAGATAAAAAGACACCTACATGTAGGAGTAAGGAAATTAAACAGAAGAAACTAATCATACATAATAAATAGACAAAGAGGACATCTTTAAAGGGGAAGTCCATCCTGAAATTAAGTTAGTTTTAATAGGAGTAGAAAAATGAGAGAAACAAGTCAGTGAAAGTTTGAGCAAATTCCGATTAAAAATAAGGAAGTTAGGATTTTTGAAGTTGTGATCAATCAAACACAAATTGGCAACTCTATGACGTATCATGCGAGCTCAACTTCCATTTGCTCAGTACTAAAAAAATCTGAAATTTTCATTTTCCCTCAAGAAAAATTTCAACCATACATGCACCCTAAATATAATAATTGCAAATATGTTTCTATACTCCCCCTGCAAGGAACAAATATATATTCCGTCATCAATAACGAAGAAAACATGATTTTATGGAATATTATGCACAAAGCAAATGAAGGAGAGCTCGTATGATAAGTCACAGAGTTGCCAATTTGTATTTGATTGATCACAACTTTAATAATTCATAACTTTCTTATTTTCATTCAGAATTTGCTCAAACTTTCACTCACCTGATTTTCTTATTATTCTGCCTCTATCGAAACAAACTTATTTTGGGGGTGGACTTTCCCTTTAAGAAACACATCAGAAAATATACAAAAGCATGATGAAGTACATAATATATCAAGCCGGTGATTGAATATAACACAATAAAAATGTTTGTAAAACAGTTTTAAATTCTGCAGTTCAAGAAAATTCAAATACAGACATGGCTAAGGCACTAAAATCATGTATCATTGAGTTGATTAGTTTAACAGAAGCATTCATCAACGTCTTTGGTCCAACTGCGCAAAGGCCGACACAAGAAAGTTTAAATCTGGGCCCCATTTCACAAACATCATCATCAGTGACAAATGATAGTTTTTGTTATGAGCTAGTGAAATCCTTGCTTCTGATTGGTTATCAGCAGATTTGTCACTGATTTTTGTCATTTGTCATTGAATAAAGGCTTTGTGAAACGGGTCCCTGTTCACTCCTTAAGCATGCAACAACAGTTTGCAAACCACTAAACAGGTTAACAGTACTTACTCCAAACATGAAATAAATAAGACTACTTTCAATGCAAGCTTTACCACATAAAAATGATATCAAAGACAAATATGTTTAAAACATTGCAGCTCGGATGCCATTTGACAAATGGAAACAACATGTGAGCAGCCATTGTGCATATGGACCCAAAGGCATATCATCCTAATCAAAATATACAAAAGCAAATACAAAGCAGTACCAAGTCCTAAACGAGGTATAGTTTGGTTTACCGCACATACTTCTGTGACAACTGCTCCAGAGGCAAGTTTGTACACTAAGCGATATATCCTAACTTCTACTCTGGACCAAACACAACATGTACACATTTATTTTCTTGCAGCATACAAGATTGTGTAATGCCAAGAATATTCAAAAGAGGTGAAAATATTTTGAATTTTCAAATTGGCAACAATGATAAAATCAAAATGTTTACTATCTTTAATAAAACAAACCATAATCTTCGTTCCTATCTCTCCCAGGTAAACAGGTGAAATTTTTCTGTCACACTCGTCACTTAGGGAAAAATACAGCAGTGTTGCCAATTTGATGAAGAAAGGATTATTTATTTAGTCCTTTACAAAATTGGCCACTATGGGACAATAGTTATTTATCAGTTCAAACATTCACAGTGACTTGGTGTGGGACCCCCACTTTTTGCTTAAAATCTTCTAATAAGAAATGAAGAAATACTGTACATAACTAATAGCCTGCAACCTCAAAATACAAATCAAAGTACAGGAGCAGATGTTTGATTGCATATCTTACAGGCATAATGCACTTGAAATGATAAACAATACTAGAATAGCAAATGTACTAATGTGAAGTATGAGTTTTAGGTCAATAAAGCAATTTAGTAACATAAATATAATGGGGAAAAAATATGGCAAAAATGGAAACACAAACTACATGTAAATGGAGAATTACAAATCGCAGAATACAATAATTACAATATAATTGCAATTTAGCATGATCATGAACATGTGTATAAATTGACATATAACTGTACTAATATTTTCCAAACACAGAGATAGAAAAAGAGTATAAAAATACAAGATGAATCTGTGATATATGTTCAAGTTTGATTTGAGTGCTACTCATTAAAAAATGCTATGCAAATTATCAATGTATGGAGATGGCACTAAAGTAATGTTGGACTGAGGTTAAGATGTTTAGGCTAGAAAGAAAAAGATCAGAAAAAATATACAAATTGTGTACATACTGTGTAGAATAAGACCTATCTAGAGCTATTAAAAGAGTCTACCACTGCCCTTTCTTCACCATTACCAGTTTAGCAGGCCAATAATAACCATGTAATTGTAGCATTTTTTGAGAGTCACATTCTTGTATTGGGTGAAAAAAGAAAAGGAGATCTGGCACAGGGCGGCGAAACAGCATTGCGTGTTTGATTTTTAATACCGGTAATCAATAAAAAATAAAATATTAAAAAAAAACCTACCACATCACAACCATCATCTCTTTTCTTCCACCACGCACACACTGCCACACTAATGTTCAACACCAGAAACATACTGTACAATGTACATCTAACTGTATATGTATCTACCAATTTAAGAAAGACATTAAATAATTTTCTTTGAATAAAATCAATGTAAAGCACAAGAAATCATCCTTCTACACGTACATCTACATCTAGAAAGACCAGTGTGCATTCATACACCTCTCCTCTACATCTTATGTCTTAGTTCTACCCATTTTGATTTTTGATGTTTGAAATTTGCTCACACTGGTATAATCTAGTTCATAATACTAGTGACTAAAGAAAGCGTGATAGACTCTATACGTTTTGAATGATATGAAATCTCCCGAACATTGTCAAAAAAATGATATCAAACATCATTAACATAAGAAACAGAAAAGGTGGCCACTGCAGACAGGTGGCCTTTCTAGACAGGTTCTATGACACACACTTCGTTCTCAAGGGAGACAAACTGCATGACCATTCTAAGAAGGTGGCCTTTATGAAGAGGTGGTAACTACGACAGGTATGTACAATCATAAATTCTTCTGAACTTGCTACAATAAATTTTGAAACAAGTTGACGACGGATGATCAAACACATGACAAAAAACGAATATCAAAGACAGAGAAATCGCCCAATAGAAATGGAAATCAAATACCTTAAAACCAAGAAATCTGGCATGCATGAAACTTTCGCAAATTTTACAAGTGGTTTGAATTCAAGAAAGTATCACGCGGTGAAATATCAAAATTAGATCGAGTCACAATGATTGCAACATGCATTCACAGAAGAAGAAAAATTGTGAAAATGGCAATCATTATTCAACGTGGTACAGTTTGATGTTGCAAAACATTCTTGTTTTACAGTTACCCCTGACTAAAGACAAAACAACATAAATTGGAACTTTCTCAAAATGGATGGATAAAGAGCATTCATATTCTATTCATAATCTAAAAAAATACAAAAAAGAATACTACAAAAAATTTAAGTCACATCAGCTGATCATTTGTTGTCTAAAACGAAACCTTATTGCTCTTCTTTACCTTGCCGCGACGACATTCGACAAGTCTAATAAACTAGAATCCATAAAAAGACATCACATGTGCTTGTTTTAGGGTAAATCAAAGGTAGAGATTTATCCCATTGTTCAAGACAACATAAACATCAAATAATTTGATTTATTTGCGGGTTAAATTGATTGTATACATGTACAGTAGCTCTACTAGAGCATCTAAGAACAAATATTACCAAAAGATGATACTCATAAAATAGATTGTTTTTCATAACTCGATGATGTTTGGTAAAATATGGGACACAAAATTACCAAATACCTTCGATTTTGCCAGTTCAACCTCACAGGAAAAAACTTATCGCATAATTGTTAATTGAAAACTCCAAATCGATTAAAAATCATAAAATGCTTTTGTATTGTCTACCTCAGATAGAAACAAAATTGATATATTTATATCCTTGTATTTAGATATCTCATTAAAAGTTTGGGTGCCTCCTTGAGTGTGAAGTCCTGTGTTGATTTTAGGAGGTATTCACAATCAGTTGTCAGAAGCAGCATGTCATACTGTTTCTCATTCAAAACCTTTCACACGTTCTTCAATCAACATTTGGAAAAGGCTATCACTAAAAAAAAATACCACCTCTGCTTTGCCTTAGGTACTCTTAACTTATCAAGTCGAGCGTCTTAAGGTCCCATTTTTGTGACTTCTTTCCGTTGCAAGCCTGAACGCTAGGCTCCTCCTTTGACTTGTCGCTCAGATCAAGGCACAGGCCACTGCTGTGTTTCATCTCTTTCGACTGCAAAACAAAACATTCAGAGAAGAAGAGAAAAGAAATATAAGTGTTATTATTTCAAAGATGCTTAGGAGTGGGCTCTGGAGAATTTGACACCGTTTGGGTTTTTACCCCCAAACGGGTGTTGTCAATAACCAGGATTAGCTATCCACTCCCCCATATGGTAAAAGTTAATATCTTACTTTTCTCTCACCTTAAGACTCTCTGAGAGACTAGGGGTTATTTCTTGAACGGACTAGGGGTTTGCTGTGTGCAGACTTGTAGACCCATTACTGGTATTTCCACCAAGTCTGGTGTCAGCGAATTATAGACTGCTACACATGGCATCTGACAACCATTTCCCTTTTAAAGTTAATCCAAGAATCTTAGAAAGTCCTGACAAAGAATCCTGTGACTGATTCCTTTTGCCTGGCTCGCTCATGATAGGGATTCAAAACGCATGGCTCCAAAAAGAAATGGACAATCGCAATATCTTGCAGGACCACAATGAGAATAACTTTCACCCTAAAATTAATCTCTAAAACCCCACCCCTGAACGATTAATTGTAAACAGGATTGGTGTAAAGACCTATAGTGTTTTACTTGAAACCCAAATAAAGAAATAGGGATTTTTTTTAGCCCTGCTTCATTTGTTTTTAAAGAAAGTCATCTTTGATGCTAACACGTACAGAAGAACCTTGATATAATGGCTTTGGAGATAGTTTAGCCCTTCTATTGGCCTAATTGTCCTTATACATGTTTCTTAAGTTCTTTGAAATGTACATGTAAGGTTAAACCTTTCTGCAGCAGATGCTAATCTCAAAGATTAACACTTTCAATACCAGATCATGCTCTGGTCCTGCTTTTTACGAAACACACAAACAAGTTAATTAATTTTCTTAACACGGTATTACTAAATCATTGGCACATACACAAATACGTTTTTAATAAAGACATTTGAATAAACACGTGGTTACACACTGGATGACAAAATGATAGGGAGGTATTCTAATACATTAACACTTACACATGAACATGTAGAGGAAAAAGTAGTCCGAGGAACATAAAGGAAACATTTTTTAAAACCCATTGTTGATAGAATAAGCACATCTGCATACGTAAGGCTCGTCCAGACATGATGCGGTAAATAAAACCTCCACCAAAAAAAAAAAATTGGTTGAATGTGTGAATATATGGCAAGTACACACAACAAAGGTCCTGCAAGTATTCAGTTAGCTCTGTGTTATAAGGCATGAAGCGTATTATACTTCACGTCATCATTTAAAAAACAAACGCCACGGTTTACAGCTACACATCTAAACAAGGCTTGATAAAGGAAAATGAAGCTTTGGGAGTGAGAGAAAGGAAAATAAACCATTGCAGAGAGAATATATACATGTACCTGTGCATGCTTAGAGAAGGGGGAGGTAGGGGGGGGGGGGGGGTAAAGGCCCTTCTTTTAAACCAAAGACTCCAGATATACTGACAAAAAGAGTAGCAGAAAGCTCAAAAACTATGTTCCCATATAGCGATGTTTCTCATCATATCTAAGCAATGACAGAGTAGGGTTCCAAACTCTGATATTAGACAGTACACCCATGCATCTCTAATGTACAGTGTTTTGTGAATAATACTGTTTTGACAATTACTATCATTTTTCAGAATACCACCCCAGGAGTTGGGAGATGGAACTACAGTATATCTACGATTGCATGCTTTTCTGCAAATAAAGCAGGAATGATGTGAGTTGGGAATCTACTAGAGAGTTAAAGTTCTTTTTGGAAACCTGCGTGAATGTCCAGGATTGACTCAGGTGCTTGAGGTAGGCATTTGGAAAGTAAACAAGCAAAGTATTAAAAAAAAAACGGGTTAGAGTAATCAATGCATCAGGTACGTGTAAAGCCAACCGCACACTATACGAACCTGCCTACGTCCCCATTTGGGAAGATTCTGCAATGAGCATTCATACATGTAAAACATGTACAATCTTAATAATAGAGGTTTGGAATACTTAGTAACAAAGCAAAGTCGGGCTACTGCAAACTTCCTCGAAGGAGAAACCTTGATCGGCACAAAATCTTTGACGCAATTTCGGTTGGACTATCATCTACGATTCGAAACAGATTTGGCTTTTAACCCCAACTACATCATTTGTGATTGTTAGTATTCATAACGTTATTCTGAACCATTACCAGGATATATATTTGTTTAGATTCCCATATCCAAAGCCACAGCAGTTTCTTTGAAAATGAGATTGCAGAAGAATCATATAATTTGCGGTAGGCATAAGAGGTAATAAAAAGTGCAATTATGGAAATGTCTTTTGATATTTAAATCATTGAGGGCCCTTCACATATTATGCAGATAATGCTGTTTAGTTTTATTTATTTATTTTTTTAATATTTTTTTTATTTTTTATTTTTTTATTTTTTTTATTTATTTATTATTATTATTATTATTATTATTATTATTATTATTATTATTATTATTTTTTATTTTTTTTGGGGGGGGGGTTGTATGTGCCTAAATTAATGACAAAAAGGAATTTGAAATAAAAAAGCAGCTTTGCACAAGCAAGGACCAGCATACTCCTTATCTGCATGTTATAAGCTGAAGAAATGTGGGTTGGGGGTTTTCAGCCGCATACCGGTATGTGAACGAGGTATAATGTCAGAATTTTAATAGTAACAGGTGCAACGGTAGGTGGGGCAATTGAGTGCAGGTTACAAAAGTTCAGGGATATTGAAAGAAAGGTATAGACTAGGTGGATTATTACTACATAATAATAAGATTTCAGCTCACTCAACATCAAGCTTCCCATGTGTATATACAATCAAACCTGTACATAGCGACCGCCCAACGGAAACACAAAAAGTGGTCTTTGTAGACAGGTTCCTTTAGTACATGTTTCAATGAGAAACCATTTTCAAGGGGGAAAAAAAATTGTATTTTCTTTGTAGACAGTTGGTCACTAAAGCAGGTTTGACTTTATCAATACAAAATGTAAGTTACTAAAGCTGACCATGAAGTAAAGAAAAATATTTAAAACTCACATTCAAAATGTCTGTATTCAGCATTTGTTCCCCCCCCCCCCCTGCCCCTTCCAATTTCCAAAGCTCATTAGAAGCGCAGGGGAACGTTACATTATAATGTGACATGTGATAAATGAGAGCATTTTTTGTTTACCCAGGGAAGGCTCATCAGCATCAATGCCGTTCTTCCTGAGGGTACTGAACATACTACTACCCCAGTGATTGCCAGGTATCCATTAACACCAGGGGGGGAGTGGCAAATGCGGATTAAAGGTACTATGTCCCTTTTGCAGCCAACCTTAAATGCTGTAGAACTTTGCAGGAATTATGAATATGTCATGTATGTCCTATCTGTGAAATTTAAACGTTAGCAGTGTCCTCATATTCAAATTATGCAAGGAAACCCGTTTACTTGCTAGACTTCGCTGTCAGACACTTGAGTGACTGACTGGCTTTTTTTCTTCTTTGGTAATAACATACATAAAATGAGCTGTAAAGGATACATGAGCATTTGTCTACATCAATAACCCACTTCTTGTGATGGCCAAGATTAAACTGATTGAATCTTTGCGCAGCATAAAACGTATGACCATTCGGTACAATTGTCTGAAAATCAAGACTATTACTTTTGGGCTCTATAGCCCTAAAGTCGATTTGACAACTAATAGTCATTATTTTCCCACTTGAAGACATTTTCAAGCCCCACCTTTTTTAGGGAAGTTCTAAATTAGTATTATCTTTCAAATGCAGTTGGAATTTAACTTTTTCATTTTTTTGGCCTGCAAATGGGACATAGTACCTTTAATGTCTTGATAAAGGACGTTAATGCTGGGCCGAGATAATAAACCATCAACCCTTGGATTGCTAGTCAAGTAAATAAACCACTTAACCACGAAACCTCCAGAGAGAACAAAATATTATTCATCCTTTCATTTTATCATCATTAGCAAGTTTCTTTATAGAAGTTATGAATTCTGAACTTCCTCTGAACTATCTTACCTTTTCATCATAGTTCCAATGTTGATTTCCTCCCTGCATATGGCAGCTCAGCATCATGACGGGTCCTCCTCGCGCTACATCCAGACAAAGATCGTCATGCCTCAACTCGTTGTTCTTGGTAAAGGCCCAAATCTAGACAAAATGGTAAAGAGCGAGAGAAGAAGGGGGGGGGGGGAAGAAAGGAAGAAAGAGAGAGAGAGTGAGAAATAACAATTTAAACTACAGTCAAATCTGCTTTAGAGACCACCTGTCTACAAAGACCACAATTTTTGTTCCCTTGAAAAATGGTTCCTCATTGAAACGTGTACTAAAGGAACCTGTCTACAAAGACCACTTTTTGTGTTTCCCTTGGGGGGTTACTATGGACAGGTTTGACTGTATATCAAAATGCTGTGACACAATTTGCAAATATCATGGAGGAGGGTGTTTACATGATTATTATGCACATCTCACATCTTGTTTTAAACAAACAATTATCACTCTATCGGTGAAAAAAATGGGCAAAATCTAGTCCAACTAAAAAAAAAATTGCATCGCCTAAACTGATAAAGACTGTATGTAAAATGCAGGGGAGGAGAAAGAGGAAGAGCGGGGTGGAAAGAAAGTGATATTGAGAGAGACAGACAGACAGAGAGAGAGAGTGAGAGAGAGAGAGAGAGAGAGAGAGAAAGAGAGACAGAGACAGAGAGAAAGAGAGACAGACAGACAGACAGAGACAGAGAGAGACAGAGAGAGTGAGAGAGAGAGAGAGGGAGAAAGAGAGACAGAGAGAGACAGAGAGAGAGAGAGAGAGACAGACAGACAGAGGCAGAGAGAGAGAGAGAGAGTGAGAGAGAGAGAGAGAGAGAGAGAGACAGAGACAGACAGAGAGAGAGAGATAGAGACAGAAAGACAAATAGAGAGACACAAAGATATATACAGACAAAAGTAAAGACAGAGAGAGAGAGGAGGACAGACAAACCTGTTTTTACCTGGTTTCCTCCTTGCCCATGGCATCCATACAGACCCACTTTATTACCAGCCTCCTTCATCATAGTATCCAGACAGACATGAGCCTCTGTGTTCCTCACCTGATGGAGACAAAGGAGAGGATAGGACATGAAAATAAACATTCATTTCCTTCCCATTGGCAATATGGTTAAAAATTAACAAATAGAACAGAAAAGTAAATAATTTAAAAATCTGAAGGAGGCAAAACCTGGTAAGAAAGCATTTGTGTTGGGAACAAGTTACTGGTTAACCTCACTAAACACTGCACAATGTCAATGCAATGTGACTGTTTAATCTTTCTTTTGTTACAAGTTCCAATTGGCACATCCGCAGGCTTGCCAAATGTGCCAATTGCCACAAACCATTATTGTCTATAAACAAATGGATGGGAGTGTGCACTGCAAAAAGGATTGCATAATGACCCATCTACAGTCTCAAGTGACTACATGACAATCCTTTTATCAATTGTATGTAGTACATGTTGCTTTATCCAGGAATTTAGAAATGAAGTAGAATCTGTTGGTAAAAATATCTCTTAATAAATACCATGTGGCACAGGGATACTGTTGAACCAGCACATACACTATATAGAGTTAAATAGCATAATATCAGGGAGATGACAAATTAAATCATTGATTCTAACCAGAAGTACCCAAGATCTCCCTGATGATGGGTCATTATCGTCAAATGTCCACAACCTTTGACAGACAAAAACATTAAAGACAGACACTCTAAGACCCGTCCCAATCAACCGCCATCCGGGTACTTACTTCACCCATGAACTGGTAGTTGACTGGCCACGATGATTACGGATAGATGTTTTCTAGATACCACTTGAATCTAAGACCCGCCCCAATCAACCAACCTCCGGGTACTTACTTCACCCATAAACTGGTAGTTGACTGGCCATGATGATTCCGGATAGATGTTTTCCAAATACCACTTGAATGACTTGCAGCTCAGGCTCTTCCTTAGGTTCAACCGATCCGAGATATCTCCTGGATCCGTCTTGGCCACAGAGGGCGATATCCTGTAGTAGAAGTTCTTGTACTCGTCCAGCCAGACCTCGGCAAGTCGCTTGTTGTTCTTGTTGACGTAGTTGGTGCCAGGGGGGAAGTGGTAGGGAGACTTCTTGCGGAAAACGTGGCCCACGTGGGAGCAAGGGATGAACTCCAGCTTACCGCCACACATCCACAACTAAGGAAAAGGGAGAAAACAAAAAATAAAAGGGTAAACCATCAACAGAGTTATATAAACCATGCATGCATAGGCTAAAAGCAGTTCCCACTACAATGTACGAACATTGATGCTAATGCCAAGCAAGGGGGACCTGAAAAAAAATACCAAGAATAAATCCCCAAAGATAGTGACAAGGCAACTTCAAAGGCATTAAATGTAAAAAGTTGAGTGTGGCAAATATAATCTAGTATTATTTATATAAGGCTTCCAAGTGGTACAATGAATCAGTGTATTCAATATCTTTAGCACAGTACCCGGACGTCTGTTCAATATTGTTTTCGTATTGCTCAGTCATCCAGTAACTTCGATCATGGATATCGAAATCATACAAAAATAAAGCCACATTTACAGCGGCAATTCAAATTTTGTTATTTCGCTAGTCAGCCTTATATAGATTTTAGTAATAATAACATTATATGGCTTTGTTTTCATAAGATACAAGAACATATTGCTCTCGCTAGGACAATATCGGAATTGTCAACTCGTCCAATATTGTCATAGCTTGAGCAATACATTCTTGTATAGCACTCAAAACCATCCAATATTATATAAATATCTTGCTAAAGGGTATCAGTGCTGTGGCAGCAATTTGAACCAATATCATGTGACCCATTGTCTGACAACTTCTCCACTTTATCCAAGCATCTCTTTTCATACAGGTTTCGGTACCAATAGATAGAAAAAAATTGGATCCAAAAGAAAAAGTGAATAACATCTGCGAATTACTAATAATAATTTTAAAAGTATGACTTACCTTGAAAGACAATTCCAGATTCTCTCCACCCCAGATGTTGAAGCCAGGATCGTACTGTCCTAGCTCCTCAAAGTAGCTCTTGTCTATGGCAAACAGACCACCGGCCATTGTGGGAGACCTGAATAGGAGGGTAATAATCAATGCAAATCAGTGATGTTTAAGCCCATCGAACATTGTTTTTAAAACTAATTCTGATGTACTCCCAGTGAAGCTGCATCTAACAAAAATGTGATCATTTAAAGTTTGGGCCAGCCAATTGAAAAGAAAGTAGCATAGATTTGCTGAAAACCAAATACTGGTAGCCTGAAAGCAAGGAAAGCAAGATACTGTTCATACACTTGTACATATTAAGACAAAAGTATCCTGAACACCATGGCACACCATAGACCCATCATGATAAGTTTTTGATGGATCATGATTGTTTACTACTGCATTCTCAAGTTCCCTATGCTTAATACAGACAGGGATCTCTCAGTTTCCATACATAATGGGTGAAGAAATATCATAGTTTAGGTTATATACCTCATTTTAAGATTCTTTACTAATCCTGTCTTCTGATTGGTTGAAAATGCAGTCATGTTCTTAACCATGCCCGCTAATTGAAATTCATAGTCATTTTTCCCGGCTCTACCGGTTTATATCCATTTTTCATAGCACTTTTTCCATGGCTGTGAAACGTGACGTCATTTTGCTGCGATCCCCAACCATGCCCGCTAATTGAAATTCATAGTCATTTTTCCCGGCTCTACCGGTTTATATCCATTTTTCATAGCACTTTTTCCATGGCTGTGAAACGTGACGTCATTTTGCTGCGATCCCCATTTTGGTTTACGTGTTACCGTATAAGTTTCTTTTGTGCGATGAGATGGAAACCTAAATGGGTGAGTCAACATTTTCCTTTTTTTCGGTATATAAAATATATGTTGACTGCTTTTAATATTCGAGGCATAGTTGTTTCTATAGGGTCTCGGGAAACTCACAACCTGCTATGACCCCGCGGCGCAAGCGCCTTGGGGTCATAGCAGGTTGTGAGTTTCCCTTGACCCTATAGAAACCACTATGCCTCTCAAAGCAGTCAATATATCCTTATGATTGGTTAATAAAAAGCTTTCTGATTTCTTTCTTGATAGATTCCTGTACACTGTGCGCTGATTACGGTTGCCGGAGCTAAAGCTAGGGTAATAATTTCCAAAGCTCTTTGGAAGTGAATAGAGACGTTATATGATGCATATATATTTAATATTATTACCTGACTGGTTCAGTTGGATCTCCTTTCCTCCTGATCTGTTCCCTCTTAGGAACCGGAAACCACTTGAAGAAGAGGGACCAACCAAAGCCGCCCATCTGAGGGTCGTTACCGTGCTGGTACTGAAAGGTGTCATCACTGATCACGTCGATGACCGGGCAAACAGATGTCGTCCTAAAATGATTAGAACAATAGCAATATTGTTAAATAATAATAATAATAATATAATAATATTGGATATTTATATAGCGCACATATCCACCCTGCAAGGTGCTCAAAGCGCTCCAATATTACCCCGGCTCTGCTAGGCTACCGATTTCGGTGCTCACAGCATTCAAGGAATTCCTTCCTACCAGTCCCCATTTACTTCACCTGGGTGGAGTGTGGCAAATGTAGATCAATGTCTTGTCAAAGGACATTAGTGCCGCGGCGGGATTTGAACCGCGGACCTTGTGATCGACAGTCCAGCAACGTATCCACTCGTCCATGACACCTCCAGACTTTGGAAGATTAATATCTTGATGAGAAGTCCTTCCTCCAACCAATCATTGCAGATAATATATGTCAGAAGAGGGGTCAACTGAAACCACCCATCTGAGGGTTGTTACCATGCTGGTACTGAAAGGCATCACCGATCACGAAAATGACCGGGGAAACAGACTGGGTTTTGGATCGGGTGAAACAAGGAGAATAATAATAGAATGAGACTTTAAGCAGATTTTCTCGAAACAATCATTGCAGAAAATTTAGGCATTAAAGCAGAGAGAAAGAGATTTAGAAGAGGGATTTTGAAGAAGAAGAGGAGCCAATCCAAGCCACCAATCTCAGGGTTGTTGCCAGGCTTGTACTGGAAGTGGAAGGTATCATTGCTGATCACATCTACATCTATGTCAAGGCAAAAGGACATTGTCCTGGTATGGACAGAGCAACAACAAAAATTAAATTAGAAGAAGAGTTCTGTCAGACTGAAGATGAAGTTATTGCATGTGAAGAAACTGTGTAGAATTCATTAGGTAAAGCTTACTTAACTTTGATGGCAACGAGTAGTGCAGAGGTCATTTGTTTGTAAGTCATCCATTTGTGATATTGTGAACACTAATATCTTTTATTCTCATAGCTTTTATTAGTGTCCTGCTTCAAGTGACAAATCTTGTTTTGTTTACTTCTAATTATTTTTCTTCACAAGCTTCACAATCTGACAAAATCTGGTGCCGTATTCAATTCAGTATGTGGATTAAGTCAATATGTTGTTCAGCATTTTACTTGGCTAATATAATGGTGCGCAGCTTATGATGACTGTATAAACACCATATCCTTGCCAATCAAGGCCTCACAAATAATTGGCTTAAGTCTGCTAGGGAGCTGTCTTAAATTTAGGGTAATATACTTTAAATTAATATCAAAGTTGGCTTTGTATTTTATCCAAGTCCAAAACTTAGAATTAAACATACTCATATTTCTAACAAAAGTATTGAATATCAGCTATGATGCTCATATTTCTTATTAAAGACACTTTCAAATAATATTAAATACAGAAAACTGTACAAAATCTAAAGTCAGCCTGGCTACACCCAACAGATGGTGTCAGCTACTAGCAGAGAGTAACATGACTAGCCTGTGAGTACATACCACATGTTCTCTATCATACTGTTTGTTTTAAGAGCTAGATAGGCGGTACAAGTACAGTCAAACCTGTCTATAGCGACCGCCCAAGGGAGAAAAAAAAACGGTCTTTGTAGACAGATTTCTTTAGTACATGTTTCAATGAGAAACCATTTTCAAGGGAAACAAAAAATGTGGTCTTTGCAGACAGGTGGTCACTATTAAAAGCATAAAAAAAAACTCATTTGATTTTACACAGGTCTAATGCCCACTTGGCTCCAGAAAGACAATATAATTTTGCATACGTGTACATGTAGAATGAACATGAACATTTCAGTACCGGTGTACATGACATGACTAAAAATGCATGCAAATATGAATACCGATCAATATAATGCAAATATCTATATTCTTTTTCAAATACACAAAATGTGCATGAAATTTCCTGGCTTTATTCTGTAGTAATCAATGAGAATATTAGCAATAAAATGGACAAAGTTTATATGTGTCTCTGAGACAGTTTCAAAAAATTCCCACCATTCGCTTCAGTTTTTTTCTGTAAGGAAACTTGCATCCCATAAAAAAGTTTGGACAATTACTGTTTAAAACAAATTACAGTTAAATTGTCTATTTTATGGGAAGCAAACAGCAAAACTAGACCTGCCTATAAAAGAGATCGGTAATTTGAAAGCACTGTTAATGGATGTGCTTCATATCATCCAGAAAGAAAGCAGGAATACAATAATAATAATAATAGTATCGAAAATGAAAGCAGCGGTCGGTGTTCAGTTTGAGCAGGCCACTCCAGAGTGTCATAGGTAATTATCACATCAGTACGGTGCACTAACTCGCAGCTGGTGCATAAAACTTGACGCAGGTTTCATTACCGGTAATCAGTATTAATGAACGCTGGCATTCAGGAAGTGTCAACTATTTACAAGCATCTGAAAGAAAAAGAAAGTATTATTGATGGAGATGATGACACACAGCATTTCAACATGGCTTCATATTTTTCTATGAATTAAAAAAAAAACTCAAAGGCACTGGATCCTCCAATAAAATCATTACATATATTTTAACATTTCCTGAAATACAATGTACCATAAAACCTACATGTATCATATGATCTAGGAGTTGCAAGTTATATAACACATATGAGTTGTGTTGTGCTTTGTGATGAAATTTGGTAAATTGCAATGCTTGATGTGACAGCGCCTTAATTTTATACTTAAGTACTTTTGAATCAATAGAGAAGTTTTCAGACATGCCTGACTAATAAGTCCTCCGCACACGTGTACAAATGAATATTTTTTAATAGTCAGTCTATTCTCAAGGAGAGAATATAAGCACTACCGTACTGTTGCCCTATGGGGACTGCATCTCTGTAGACTAGTACACTGCATCAAAGTGCTTTGCTCTCCTGACCTTCCATGACACAACAATAGGGGTTATTACATCGACTTCCTGGGACTTCCCCACTGCTCTATTAAAGCCCCACTGCACTACTTATAGCAACTTGCGCCCTCTATATAGCAAACAATGCCTAATCGGTGCCTGTTGGTCCCCCATGACCCCCTTTTTCTTATGTTGAGAGCTGATTTGATGAGATAACCAACTGTCAGTGACCTTGCAGGGAGGTCTAATCCCCCTGGCCAAACTAGTACAGACAAGCTTTAAGGAGAACTGACCCAACAGAATAACTTTCTGAGAGATTTATTGCACTCTTGCCCATCGATCTACAAGATTCCCCACCAAAGTGTACGAGAAAGGCATAAAGCAAGAATAAAGTACAGTTTCTCAGCAAGACATGGGCATCGCCATTTTCTTGATTGCACCATGAAAAAGGACATTACTGTTGAACTATTCGCAAGTGAAATGCAGACATACATGTAGACACAGACACATTCAAAACTCACTACCGTTATTATTAAAAGCACTTGAACCTATCAGTATCAACAGGGATACAAAATATTGTGAAATATTGTGCCACAAAACTTTACACAACACATCCTAACTTGCACCAAACGAACATGTACATATGAAATGTACCCACATCTGTAATGAGTCAGGCCGAGTGAGGGTTCCCTGTTTAGCTTCATGACAAGTGAATTCTTGGAGCTAGGGGGCGGGGTCGGCTTAGGGATTGTTATATGAGCTGTGTGGGTCAATATCTCTGATTTGTTTTCCAGAGTTCAGAGACACTGAATTGAAACAGTAGTGTCTTTGTGAAAGGCATGGAAGCGATACACACTAATTGCCAACTGCATTTATATTCAGCTGTCACTCTTTGACCTCACAAATTTTTGCATTTTTCCACATTCGATGTCATTTGTTCACAAATACAAGTTGAATACATGGTATTCAACACAACATTTTTAAAAATATCACAAGGTGCAAATGTGTTAATTAATAACCAATGAGATTTTTTTTCACGAGAATGTCCTGGGGTGTTGCAAAGACTGGTGTAGACAGTCTACTTTTGTGGAACTAACGCATTTACTGTGAACAGGGAACCCTGGGCTGCAGACCAGAACCATGCCCGTAGGAAATAGGAAGTTAAAGAATGTAATTAGGATGTTTCATTCACAGCAGAACTTGGAAGGTCTATTGCTAATCTTTTGGTCTACAGAAATGTGAAATTTCAGCAAAGATTCTTTGGTTCCAAATAAGAAATTGCAGTTTTTGTGCGTCAAGTAATGCCTGGCTGGAATGCTCCCCAGGGAGTGGAGATTTTGCACACAGTGTGTGCAGGCAAGCACTGAATCCAATGACCGGGGTGATAGTATATCTGTAAAGCGCTTAGAGACATCAGAGATGTATTAAGTGCTATATAAAAGCGAAATATTATTATTTACCACCATTTAACCTTTATAATTAGAATGGGGTCATACTGTACCTGTCTTCAGCGATCCTGGCAAGCATGGGCTCCAACCATCCTTCCGTCACCTCACAATGAGAGTCCAGGAAGGTAAGGACCTGTCCCTTGGCCACGGCTGCCCCTGCCATCCTGGCTCGGATCAGACCAGAGCGGCCCTTCATCTTCACAACGTAGACGGACACGGGTAGCTTGGCGATGTAATCCTCCAGGCTTTTTCCTAGATGTTCTGTGCAAGGAAATAGCAAATTTCATAAAATGAATCGGTACATAATCAAAATCAAAATTGAATTAAAATTTAAATTCTGTGACAATGTCATATATTCAAATTCAAAGTTGAAACTGAAAATGATTTTAAAAGTACTTGTAAATATGAAATTCAAATTACTAAAAAATATTTAAAGACATAGGATCATTCCCTATTATCAATAACTTAAAAATAAAATTTTGAATTTACTGCTTCACAGATGTACATGTACATGTAGGTACTCTAAAATTTTCCTAGAATATTTCAACTCACATCGATTTCTTATTATCACCAATTTAAATATCTATTATTGACCCATTTTTTGTTTTCCTGTAATTTGGTGCCAAGCCGATCATGTATTGAATGGAAATGGAGTGAAGGAGAGAAAAGAGATGGAGAGGGAGAAAGAGAGAGAGAGAGAGAGAGAGAATGGGGTAGACAATGGACAATATCATGTACCCCAGTAGTTCTGTGTTCATTTTGCTGTAATTATATTTTTGTGAGAGGCTGGTTTCACTCTACTTTTTCCTAAATATACTTTCTAATACCATTACCCAATTACCATGCATCCATCACTGCCAAGTCCGGCAGTCCTTTGGCAAGCTTTAGGTTTAATAGCCTGCAGGGACAGACTCTCTGTGATAATGGACAAAATTCACAAAGCCTTGAGCCTATACATGTACATGTAGATCCTAACTTTGCAAGTCAAACTGACTTCCGAAGGAGCAGCCTTTGTACTGGGTGCATTCAACAGTCTTCAAGTTAAGACCCTGTATGAGGCCTAAAAAAAAAATGTTGTATTGCCCTTTACACTGTAGGTGCCTAAACATGGGTCGGTCGGTCGTAATTAAAAAAAAATACTCCCTCTTTGGGCTGATATTTCTCAGTTTTGAATGTTTTTAATACATTTTTTTCCGAAAAAAAATGGTAAAAAAAAAAAAATAAATAAATAAAAAGCCGACCGTAGATTTCAAGATTTTGGGGCCGGTCGCAAAGGGCAAAACAACTTCTTTTTTTTTAGGCCTGATATACATGTACATGGCAATGAAAGACTTATTCACAAATAGAAAGGTGAAATTTGCACTTGGGTTAAGACTAGTAATAAACTGTTATATCTGTCCTATTGTATGGAGCAGAAACATGGACAATAAGCAAGGTCATGGAAAATAGAATAACATCTTTTGAAATGTGGATTTGCAGAAGAATGATGAAAATTTCCTGGAAACGAATGAAAACCAACAAAGAGATATTGCACAAGGCAGGGCGTAAACAAATTGCACTGGTAGGATTGGTTAAGGAGAGAAAAGTCAAATATGTTGGTCATGTTAAAAAGCACCAAAGCCTCTTAAAGGTACTATGTCCCATTTGCAGGCCAAAAAAATGGAAAAGTTAAATTCCAACTGCATTTGAAAGATAATACTAATTTAGAACTTCCCTAAAAAAGGTGGGGCTTGAAAATGTCTTCCAAGTGGGAAAATAATGACTATTAGTTGTCAAAGCGACTTTAGGGCTATAGAGCCCAAAAGTAATAGTCTTGATTTTCAGACAATTGTACCGAATGGTCATACGTTTTATGCTGCGCAAAGATTCAATCAATTAATCTTGGCCATCACAAGAAGTGGGTTATTGATGTAGACAAATGCTAATGTACAGTGTACCCTTTACAATTCTTTCACGTATGTTATTACCAAAGAAGAAAAAAAGCCAGTCAGTCACTCAATAGTGTCTGACAGTGAAGGCTAGCAAGTAAACGGGTTTCCTTGCATAATTTGAATATGAGGACACTGCTAACGTTTACATTTCACAGATAGGACATACATGACATATTCATAATTCCTGCAAAAATCTACAGCATTTGAGGTTGGCTGCAAAAGGGACATACTAGGATGTGTTGAAGGGAAGAGTGGAAGGAACTAGACCGAGAGGGAGACCCAGAATCAACTGGGAAGAGAATGTCAAGAACTGGAGTGGACTAAAACTACAAGAGTGTACCAGAATGGCAGAAGATAGAGTGAAATGGAGAGATCTTGCAATCAACCTCCGAACCGGGAGAAGATATAGATACATGTAGAATTGTAGATACATGTAGATAGAGTAGACCTGTGCTACAATGGACATGGGTTTGTGCTACAAACTACTTGTGGGCCTCCTGAGGTCACCTTCTAATTAGCTTGGTAAATCGTACCATTACATGTTGAGTTGTTCGTAGATTAAGTTACTGTCAGGATATGACTTAATGTGGACCTCTGAGAATTTCCATGTACAATGTACCAGCAAATAACAGGTTACACATCGGTTCTTACTGACTCGATTACAAAATATTTGTCAAAACTTGGCCAGTCTACAGCCTCAGACTTTTGTTACACCTGTAACGTAAGGACTGACACTGGTACTTGATACAGTTTAGATCCACTTGCAAGATAAGTCCCTCGAGGCTTGTTCACACAATGCAGTGAACAGGAAGAAAAAACGTGAAGGCGACAATATAGAAACTATTTTATATTTGAATGGCAGTTGTGAGTGGGGGAGGGAGTAATTAGCTGCACTTGATAATGGCCTCTTAAAGATAAAGGCCAGTTATGGTCTTGCGATTGCATTGTGAAAGAAATGTTGTGGAATCGCTCAGAAAAATTTGATCATCTAGCATAATACTCTAAGTATTGGTGTGTACTGCAAGGTTCTGGAATCATCAAAATGAAATTTGGCCCAGTCTCGGTAAAGTTACAAGCACTGCACACAGAAAGAGGTATATGGGACTACATGTACGTGGCACGTGCGTTATCTATCAGGTCCAAATAGATATAATATTTAACCAAATATATCAATTAGTAGGCGGTTTCTCGGCAAAATTTGTATCATTACATATTAGTCAAAACATATTCTTTCACATGATTGGTAATAAGAGCTTCCATTTCATTTTTTGAGAGGGGGGCGTTTCCAAAACTAGTCTTTACCTTTTAACATATACAGTACTCAAAACTGGTACTTCATACAACTGAAGATAAGTCCTTGAAGGCTTGTTCAAATGATGCAGTAAACCAAAAGAAAAAATGTGGTGATGGCAAAATAAATGGCAAATGCTAATGGGGGGTAATTAGCTACAAATAATAACAGCCCCTTTGAAGGTACCACACTCAGGGTCCTGCGTGCAGAAAGATACTGGTATGTAAAATGCACTACATGAATGCCTACATCGTTGTTTTTTTTGCAGCGAATTTTTATGAGGCTTTGCTACGGCATGTGTCAATTATGACTATGCACTTGTTAAAAATAAAGTGATCATTAAACACTTTGGGGTTTTTCAAGTGTTGCAAAGGAATCTACATCTATAGACTACAACTTGGCACTGCTTGTGATGTTTGTCACATCACGTTAATGATCATTACAGCATTTGGACGCACATGAATATGTATGTGTACACAGCAAGTACATGTACATGTATGTAGTGTTGTCTGAAGTCTACCAAAAGCAGATATTTTGTGTCATATGAAACTATATTACATTTGCTGCATATCACATAGCCTTCACTGTGTAGAGTATATGGCTACTTTAGCTCTAGGTTTCACAAGACAGTTCATAAACTTGAAAGGGAGATGGTGGCCAGTTTCCACGAGCAGTACATGGAGCCCATAACTTTAAAGTTAAATCTATGTCCTGTTTAGCCCCCCCCCCCCCCCCCCCCCCCAACTTTTTGTATATGTTTCTGTCAGAAAATATGCACCCATCTCCCACCCCTCCAACAGAAAGAAAAAAAAGTTTTACTTATAAGCAAAATGCATCAATGTGTGTACTTTTCAGCACTCAATGCATTCGCAACTTTCTACACAACATCTTGATTCGCTTTTAAAAAATCGGAAGGTTCTGAGAGCTTGAGGATGTTCCTTTTCTTAAAATTGCAGCTTTTCTACAAGCAAACATCATTTGCCCCTTTAAAACTGGGAATTAATTCACAAACATTTGAATAAGAGATCAACGCCAATCAATCTCTCTTCTGGCGTTGCGGCTTTACTCAGACTCCCAGAGGAAGTCTTCATATGGAGAGAGAGATAGGCCCATGGGCTAGACATGTCAATCATCCGCCTATTTTTAGATATATATTCAAACACTGAAAGTATGGTTGCTTTAAAAGGACCAATCAAAAATCAAATTTCATTTTTTTTCTCTGAATGTTTTGAACCCAATGCCAGTATGTAAAGCCCGTCTGTACTAGTTTGCCCAGGGGATTAGACCACCCAGCAAGGTCACTGACAGGTTGCTATCTCATCAACTCGGCTCTCAATTAACATAAGAAAAAGAGAATTATGGGGGACCAACGGGCGCCACTTAGGCATTGTTTTTTATATAGAGGGAGCAAGTAGCTACAAGTAGTACAGTGGGGCTTAAAAGGGCCAATCAAAAAACTGTTTTTGTTGTCTTTGTCTGATTGTTTTGAATCCAATGCCAGTATGTTAAATTTGACATGTCAGCTTCAAATATTACTTCTGTAAGTTTCGTAGAGAGAAAAGCAAGCTGAAATACATTCTACACATGTATCCATAAAAGAATGTTAAACCAATGTGTTCTTTGACCTGTTGACGCAATGGACGGATGGTAATTTACACTGTATGTTTGGCTTGGGTTTCGGTGGCAGGATTTTTATATGATAGATCATTTACATCTTTACATACATGTATGTTGTCATACTCCTTAACCATTACCCCATAGACTGCAGGGCGAAGGTTCTTGGGAGTGATTTCATACACAGAAGCTGTAAAATTTTGTTGATATGGTTCAAATGATTTTATTTCTCATGCAAAACATAATACAATGAATAATTATATTACAAAACTATGCAATGAAATGACAAATATGATAGAAAAAGCACAAGAAAAGAGGAACTATTACTAGAAGCAGAGCTTGTTGAAGTGTTAGTTCCTCAGATGCTGTTTAACAAATAACACGAACAAAGTATGATTAGAAAATAAATAAATAGAACAAATATG